CTTTGCCACTTGAGAGATTTCCCTTCACTGCCTTTTATCTAGGCACAGCAGGAAGTAAGAGTGAGAAAATCGGACAGTTGTCACCGACACCAGTGCCCCTATTGGAAGATTCTGTTCAATTCTTGTTCTGGTGGAAACTCAAAATGTTGGATTTCCCCTCAAAGTCATTCCCAATGGCATTTGGTGATGAGGACAATTGGGGGATTTCTCTCTAACGAGGACATGGACAGTAATAAAAACCTGACAGGGTTTTTCACCACTCTATCCGAATCCAAAAAACAACATTTTGGGAGGAATTTATCTGGAGCAGTTGCCCATAGTAACCAATCCAGCTTCTCTCTTTCATTTTCAAAGCTTAACTGAGCTAATTGAAGAGAGAAACTGATTGGTTGCTATGGACAACTGCTCCAGTTTTGATAAATTCCCCTCTTTGCCTTTAGTTTTACTTTAGGTTGGTTGCTGTACAGCAGCTCTGTTTATATAATGAGGTTGGTTGCTATGGGTTACCACCCGTTCCTTTCTGCGTACGCATGCTGTGAGTACCGCAGTCAAGTGTATATCACTATCTGTGTCCCTGTTGGAGAGATTCACTCTCTCTCCCAAATTTCACCAGGAATGAAAGTGAGGAAAAATCAAAAATTTTGAGGTGTCACCAGAACAGCAATAGAAGGGAAATCTTCCTGTGGGGGTTTCCGTCACAATGGAGAGAACCACCCTCCAGAAGGAAGGACAGTGTCAGCATGAATTCAGAGATGATTTGAGGATCTACAGCTGAGTGATAAGCAAATAAGATACATTTTTGATAAAAGTTAGTGTTCATGAATGTATTTTAAAATGTTAACTCCTGAGTTTAGTGTCACTTTATCCCCCCACCCCTCCACCCAGGTGATGCACATTTTACTAGGATGTGATCTCATACAGAGGAATACTTGTCTTACACTATGGTCCCAAGGCAGCCAGCTCTCCAGCCACAATGTGGGCAGGCACACCTAAGTTGCCGTGTACAATGCTGGACTAGTAGTGGCCACTGGTGCTACATTGTACATAATGATGTCAGCAAGAGGCGCAGCAACAAGACAGGACACTGATATGAAGAGTGGCTTTGTGGAACTGCTTCTCACAACCAGAATCAGTGAGGAGGGAGACCGAGATCTGGGGATTAGGGTAAGTATTCCTCTTTATAACATCGTCTCTTTAGAACATGGGTGGCCAACTTTGGCCCTCCAGCTGTGCTTTAATGTAAAACATGCCTCTGCGAGTTACGCCTGTAACTGTCAGTCCTGCAATGCATCATGGGACTTGTAGTGCCACAACAGGTGGAGGGCTGAAGTTGCCCAGCCCTGCCATAGAAGAATGAGCATTACATTTCAGGGGGCAAGGATGTGTGAACAATGAGAAGTATTTTTTTTTGCAAATAGTCCTTATTAATGGGAAGTATTTTATTTATTCCTGAAGTCAGATTCCCTCACTATTCACTATATGTTTGTTAGTTTTTAATCACGCAGCATATGTACAAAGAGTTTTTGAAAATAAATATTTCTTACCTTTTTTTTTTTTTAGATTTTGAAGGCCTTTGTGTAGATTGCAAGCTACTCAGAGAAGTTTGAAAGTTAAAGTGATACTAAAGTCAGGAGCTGACGGTGTCCTTCCTTCTGAAGGGGGGCTGCTTTTGTTCTCCATGGTCCCTGTGTGTGTTGTAAAGTAGTCACCCCTCTATGCTCATTCCTGTGATGGACTACAATCTCATGTTTAGTTTACTGATTTGTATTGAGATTGTAGTCCATCACTGGAGCAAGCTTGGAGGGGTGGCTACTTTACAACACACACGGGCCATGGGGAACAAAAGTAGCCACCCTCCAGAAAGGAGGACAGTGTTAAGGTGCCCACACACCTTGCGATAATCGTACGATAATTGCGGGAAATCCCGCGATCGTACAATTATCACAAGGTGTGTGGAAGGCGTGCGCCGTTTCTACTGTACGGTGGCACGACTTTTGTCTTTCGCAATATTCGAGAATCGTACGATTTTCGGCTGGTTTGTAGCATGATCTCAAGATAAATGCCGCACGCTCCTTGCCATCTTGCGAAGGTTGTAAGGTGTGTGGCCAGCTTTAGTATGAATTCAGAGATGATTTGAGTATATACAGCTGTGTGATACATTTTTGTAAGCGCGAGCAGAAAAAAATTGCCGTCTGGAGACGGCAACCCGCAGATGCTGCAGTGCCGTCCGTCCGTTTTTTTTACTACGGGCGGACGGCAAGAGGTTAAGGTACTTTAATACATTTGTAAGATTTAAATGGACAAACTGAGGGACAGACTAAACTTCCTCTCGTTAACATACAATACTTCTAAAGCTGGCCATGCACCAGTAGATTTCCGAACGAAAGATCTTTCTTTACCACCCAATTCTGCCATTAGAGACTTGACAAATGTCGAACGGAATTTTGTTTATTTTAACATTTGATTTTTGAATGAATGGAGTCTCCCGAACAAAAACCAAATTCACTGTTAGAAATTCATTAATTCATTCAAGAAAAATGTTTCATCCTGCTCCTTCGACTTTTTTCATCACTATGGTCGAAATCAATGGTCGATTTGACCATCAACTAATAGAAAGATCTTTGGTATGGCTACCTTATGTCTTTAACCCCCTTGATAGGACAGACCGTGTTCAAATTTAATTTACAAGTGATAATGAAATCTGCCAACACAGTATAGACAGGGTTGGACATAACTTTCCACAACTTCTTCCTTGACATTATATGCAGGAGGTGGGGGTTAAGGTGGAAGGTAGAATTTTAGAAGTAGGGATGCACCAATACTAGTATCAGCGCCGCTACCAAGTACTCGTACTCGTCCAAATGCTCCGATACCCCGCACAACCCGAACTTCTGGTCAGAGGGAGATGACTCGAGGGAACAGGAAGCCGAGCGGAGGGTAATGGCTCGCCTCCCAGCTTCCTGATTGGCCGGGAAGCCAGCTCCATGCCAGCGGAAGTATCGGTACTCGTTATCGGCGAGTACAGAAAATAAATATCAGTACTCGATACCGAAAAACAAGTATCAGTGCATCCCTACTTAAAAGCTAAGCAACAATTTATAATATTTGTTTCTTAAATTATGTTATATTAACTAGAACACACAACAAATCTTAAATCGGTCTTATCCCAATTTGGCAGCAAAAGTGGAAATATATTTTAAGTGCAAATAGGCCATTACTAGACATTTGGTAACTATGGCGTTTAATGTCAAAGGATCAAAAACGCATATCTGTGTCTCATTTATTACTATGCAGGTAATTGGATTTAATGGTTAACAGACGCTTTCTCGCTAAGGAAAACAAACTCTGTGATGATGTAAATGGTGTTCTTTCACAAATGTCCGTCTTTTAGAATTGATTCTGCAACTCCTTGATGAATGGGCATGCAGAACTAGTGCTTTACCTGTGTCACTGGATGTGCTATGCTCAGGAGTTTTCTTGTGTTCCGTGACTGTAAACACTACTTTCACTTTCCTTGAATGCTTTCTAGTGGATGGCCTTTCAGTTAATGTTCTCATGATTTTATTTTGATGGCTTGTTTAATTCATCAGATACTCAGACATGAAGAATTGTTTTACTTTAGCCTGCATGAGATATGGACTTTGGAACATCTAAGCCTCCAACTAATATCCAGATAGAAGAGTTTCTTCATATTGGAGTTGTGTATAGCAAGGGTAGGCAAATGCTGGCCCTCCAGCTGTGGTGAAACTATAAATTCCATCATGCATCTGCCCCTGGGAGTCATGCCTTTGGCTGTCAGCGTTTTGCAATGCCTAATGGAGTTTGTAGTTCCACCACAGTAGACGGAGGGCCAGATTTTGCCAAGCCCTGGTGTAGGGCATAGATCAAGTTGGGTTCTACTGGCTGGCTTCTGAGTGTTATGTCCTCGAACTCGAGAGAGTGCAGAGAAGGGCTTCAA